AACACATCATCCCTTGGAAAACTGGGTGGTTAAGAACAGGATTCCAGTAATGGATCGAATAATAATCCACAATAGATAAATGGTAGTACACTTAGTGTATACTTGTATAATTAATCATGTATAACCCCCCAACCCATCTAACAATCAACCGAGGTCAGTCTCGTGTGTTTTGGCTGGCGCCCACCTGAAAACCCACACTTTCTCGGATCGTGTCTTTGAGCTTCTTCTCATCCCGTGGATCATATGCTTCTGCATTGGCCACCTTGACTTCGCAAAGGGATCGGGTCACCTCGGCAATGCCTTTATCTCCAATAGAAATCTTCTGGGACAGGGAGGCACTTGCTTCCTTGGATTTGCGATCATGCAGAGGGCATAAAAAACCATAATGCTTCATTAACGGTAGATTTCGCATATTTGGTAAGTGGTGGCTAAAGAATATCCCGTGGCTTAATGGTTCTTACGCATAGATCACATAGATCACATAGATTACCATGATTTCCACCTAATTGTTTCATTACTCATAGATTCCGCATTTGTGATGTTTTTTCCAGTGAAATATACAAACGATCTTCGCCAAATCCAGGTTTCATGAGGCATCACAAATGCCACGTCGATCTTCAGAGAGCACGCGACATACTGTTCATAGATCGTCCAAACTCGTCGCAGGTATCTGGGCTGGTGCCATCCATCCAAAATGGCTACCATCTGGCCACAGCGTCGAAGGTTCTCTTCGAAGACCTCTTCTAAGTTGTCACTGCCAGCTGGAGTTCCATCCACAATGAGACGGAATTGATTGTTCACAAAAAAGCACATGTAGAAAAATACATTCTCAGCTGCCATGGGTGCTTTCCACATTTGCAACGCATTTCTTACCTGTCCCACTGAGTATTGCCAACTCCAGGACATGAAGTAGTTTTGCCTTTGTCGATGTTTTGGGGGAAGCAAATCCACCAGCGCACGACCCTTTTTGCCATCTCTTGGGCAATACAAGTTCTGGCCGACTTTATCCTTACAGAGCCAAAAGGCTTCTTTCAATCGGAGAAAGGTTGGATCTACTTCTTGTGATCTCTGTTGGGCTAAGTGCACAAAATCGTGCAGCAAGTAGGCCATGCTGACTCCTGCATGATAGCTATGAAGAACACGGATCTCTTGCACCTTCTGCTCAACTCTGTCCTTGCTCCATTCAAACAAGGCAAACTTCGGGAGAAACTTTTGCACAGTGTCTTCCTGTTCATTCCAAAGCTCATCATCCATGTCCTGCACAAGCTTCTCAACTCCATCTGTCTTTTTCTTGTTCACACCAAGCAAAAAACTAAGGTCGTTCGCCAGTGAAGAGAGCCTCTCGGTTTCCTCCAGTTTTTCTCTCATGGCGTTGCCAACCGCATCAGAGCTTGGATCCCTCCAACTCAGTGACCCTAACCCTGAGCTATCAAGAAGATCCCTGGTCTTTGCCCGTGGACGACAAAGGCTGTTGAGAATCCTTATCTTGTCTTCAGCTTTGGTTGCCATAGCCTCGACAATGTCCAGGCACGTGGCTCGGCGCATCATCTCTCGCGGGAACTTGGCCTCGCGCTGGCCTTTGACCCAAAAACCCAGCTCTCGCTCCATCCGCTCCTCAGCACCAACTAGGCCATCTGTGATGAGATGTGCTTCGCCATGACGATCCATGGCCGCCACATCCAGCAGAAAGTGCTTCCCGGACTTCTCCTTGTTGCGCTTCTCCACTGCCAGAGACATGTTGCGCTCCTCCACTGCCAGAGACACTTCGAAGCACACCCAGATCCTGCTCAGAGGAACGACGTCTTGATCCAAGATCAGCAAGAGACCGGTACACAACTTCAGTGCACGGCAGAAGCTTGTCTTTCGGGGTTTGTTGCAGACTTCATCGACCAATCTATGCTGGTTGTTGGCCAAAGCGCCAACCCAATAGGTTGTGTGCTCAGGCAACTCGCGCAAAGAAGCGTGGCGCCTGAGGCAGGCCATGAACTCGTGGAGCGGCTTTTGCCACACATAGGAGACATACCACAGAGGCCGTTGACTTGCAGCCTCGCTGGCAACCAACTCTACATAGCTGCAGCTCAAGGGGCTGGCCGTAGCAGGGCCAATGACCCAGTATTCCGAATGATACATGTTGAAGTCCTTGAAAGACAAAGGTTGCCCGTAGTGTGGTGAAACTGAAACACACTCACACCAAGAGGAGGCCCTTTCCTCAACAAAATCCAGCAGATGTGACAGCTGCTGGATGGTGATTCCACGCACTTCTGTTCTTGGGATAGGAACCGAAGGTCCAGAACTCAAGTATGAATAGTTTGCAAACACGAGGTCTTCATTGAATTCATGCAGCAGGTCCTGGGGTCTCAACTTCTGTGGACCGCAAGACAACAGTTTCTGGCCATGCCAGGGCTCGTCTAAGACTTGCCGCAAATACTCCACGGCCTCGTGTGCGATGCTACTGCTGCAAGTGAATGTGCCCTTTTTCGGGACTTGGATGCGAACCGTTTGCGCCATCGCGCAATCGAAAAAATGGGCATTTGGAATGCAGGAGAATCTTGTGTTCTAAAATCGTGGAGCTGATAAACTCTAAAAACTACGAAGATTGAGATGAAACCAACAAAGATCATTGCCCTGTAAGTTATGCCTTCTCGACTAGGATCATCATGAATTTTGCATTAACTCATCTCTGAATGGACTCTGGATGCTTCTGGTATGTGACAACCTTATGAGTGATTTTCCAGCAATCTGATCATTTGACAGAAACTCTGCAATGCCCAAGATGTGGTGCTTGAGCAGCAAGTCGGGTCAAAAACCAGCTTCTGGCGGTGATCTGTCAAACAGGAGCCGTCAAGTCATGCACTCCCAACAGCAACAATCATAAAACTGAAGATGGTCCATTGTCTATAGACTCTTTCATGGGCCCGAAAATGTTTACAAACCACCCCTTTTATGATTGGTGATCTTTCATAATCTTATTCCGCAGATGCTGGTCACGGCCAACATCAATCCCTGGGGTTACCATCTAGGTATGTTAGGAGGTATCGATAAGGGATAACCAATGACCGATTGATAGATGTTAAGCTATCAGCTATCATAGATTATGTAATGGCTACGATAGGGTTTTAATAGCACATCCTATGATCTTCTCTATCAATTGATGGAATGTTTTGGACCTATGACTTCCTGTCCCATAATTGGTAGCTATTTCATATTAATCTTGGATGGGATTTTTCCATGATTTTTCCATGACGGAACTCAGTGAATTCCCGGGCCTGCAAATTCAGCGCGCCCATTTGCAAACACTCCGTCAGCCCCACCATTAGGGCATCTTCCTCGCGTCGGCGGCTCCCGGCCAAGTTGTTTGACGGGTGAACCCACGGATAGTTGACATTAAAACAACATTGGGGGAAACCATGGTTGAAATAACTGAGGGAAACCATGGTTAAGATCAAAACAACCTTAAACAGAGGTTGGTTTGAGAATAGGGTGCACCCAAATTTTCATGGTCGATCATCATTTTCCAAATGAAGATTGCCAGTCCTTGGTAGCATCATGTACCATCACGACTTTGGAGAAACCCATGTTGTTTTGGACAATCTCCGGGAAAAAACCGCCCCAGAAATCTGATCATCCCACTTTTAGGGTCCATGTCAGAGGGAATCTAAACATAACAAACTGGGGTTCTTTATGCACCACTAGTAATTTTTCTCAAAACATTGATGAGACCAGCTTTGGATCATCAGTTTGGGCTTCCTAAGTCACCTAAGTCATGACCCCGGAATCAAAGTTATTGGTCATTGGTAAAATCCCAGCATCTAAAAGGGGTAAATCCACCAGTTTGCTGATACCGATACCCTCAACAATTAGGGATTGTCCCAACAATGTCCCAACTATCAAATATTCGCATGTTATTTAGATCATTTTATATCACTATATTTCATGATATCCCCATCATCATGTTCCCATATCGCAGTAACCCCCCGATCGCATCTCCTCCATTTTGGTCACGCCCTTTCCCCGATGGGGAAAGAGACGATTGATTTGTCCACAGGGTTGTTCCCCTTGTACCATCTGGTTGGTGGTTTCAACACGTTTCAACCATCTTGAAAAATGATGGAGTTCGTCAATGGGAAGGATGACATCCCATATATTATGGAAAATAAAGCATGTTTGAAACCACCAACCAGCCATTACACAAAGCTTTCATCCCCCCAATTGTTGATGGTTAAATAGCGTATTTCTCCCCTTTACAAATCAAGATCTCCATTGGCAAACACCATGACCCATGATATTCCCATCAAAAAGAAATATCATGTTTATCATCAATATCCTATTCCCCACTATTCCCCAACTTGCTGGGGATGCTCTCATTATATCCCCACTCATATTCCATAATGTCAACCCTGGATTAATAAACCCCAAACGGCTGTTTAATTGGGGGGGGTACCATAAAAAAGTATTGGATGAAATGACTATTGGAGGAGTATCCCCCTAATTAATAAACCATGGTTTAGCAAAATCCGGGGTTGACATATTAGTTCCCACTAGTTACCAACTGTTGGCAACCTCTCCACACGATCGGATCGAGGTCGTCCTTGGGTTTGCAGGAGCAGTTCTCAGCCAAATAAGCACCCACGCGATAAATCTCCTGGTGATTTTCGTGACCGTAAAGGTTGGGTAAATCACGATCTACTAGGAATTTAAATGAATTGAAGTTCATCTGGGATGCATAAAAACTTCATAAATATGCTTCATCTATCTGTACGGATGCAATCCACAAAGTTAAAGTCATCGTTGCTGCAAGCGCAGTAAAAATCACCGTGCTTGTAGCGACAAGCCTAACTCTTCCTAGTTGATACCACATCATGAATGGGTTAGCCAAACAAATGTTTTCAAATTGGATCAAATTGGGACATATACTAGGGGTTGCTTTGGTATTTGTTTCTAGATTTACCAGCTGGTAGTCTGGAAAAGAAGGCTACCTGGATTGATTATCTTTCTCATCAAACCACCAGGGATGTATATGATCCGAAGAGATAAGCAACCAGTAGCAGGGTGATAGTTGCTCTGTATCTATATCCTAATGTTTAACCACACTTTAAAAAAAAACATACTCCATGTATATATCTAATTTTGAAAAAAAACATGCCATTTCGGAGTTGAAAGGAAACCACACCAAAAACAAGGGCTTATGGCATTGGGTTACCATTACCATTGTCAGTAGGGTTTTCTCCTCATTTTTGTTGAGTAACCCCCAACTATCGTTGGTTAGACTCCAAATAGTTTTGTTGGTTAAATCACATTCCCAGTGGTGACCCTAGAGGGAAAAAAAAAGATATGGAACCTCCATTGTTCCTCAAGGCAAATGGATTCAAATGGTGGGGTTTCCATCCATTTTCATCTTTTCAGGAGGTTCACTTCCCAAATCATTGGTTGGTTATGCCATACAAACTTTCTCGTCTCATCTAATCTACAGCAATCTCCATCACATATCCCATGCTCCCATGACTCACATACATACATGTATGTAAATTTATATATCATTGTAATTGTAGCCCAGAAATATCCATTTATATGAACAACCACATTGCATATTTACATCTGATTGTTATAGATATATTTACCTATGGGTAGAATATGGTTATAATATGGTTATATATGTAGATATAACCATATCTCATACCCATGATAGATCTATTACCATATGATATACGCATAGATCTATACTTCTGGCTTAAAATATGGTTAATGATCCATTATAACACCCATAGATACTATCATATCCAAATAAATAAGCACATCTAAATCCAAATATATAATATCTATATTCATATGATACACCCATAGATCTATAGTTATATAACTATAATTAACTATATAGTAATGATCACATCCATATAGATATAACATTATAACCCAGAAATCCATAGCCGCCTGGTAGATCTGTTCGCGCTCGCCGTCGGAGTACGCCGCGTCGCCCGCCTTGAGGTCTTCGGCCTGGAACTCATCGGACGCCGGGCTCATGGGATCCCCTGGTGTTTTGGTTGACCTGAAAAAGAAGACATACTCCAAACCACCATATGGTCATGGAGAAAAGGTAGGATATTATATATTTATAAAGCCCATATGGTTATTATGGTCAAATAAAGGATCTATATAATTATACAGCCATATGGGGTTTATAGAATTATAGAAATAAGTTAACTTGACAAAACAAGGAGGTGTTTCAACAAACCATTTTTGGTTTATATATAGACTAATACTTCACATCAAAATATCCGCCAGTGATGGATGTTCATATTAATTACACCAGTCAGATGGTATTGTATAGTGGTTGTTTATAAATCATCCCCATATTTCCTCTAAAGCCATGACGTTGTTTGGAGTATTCACCGCTAACCACAAGGGTGATGTTGACCCTCCGGACATCAAACATGGCAATATCTGGAGGTTTACCCCCAAATCATCCATTTATAGATGGAATTTTCCATGAAATAAACCATCCAGCTATTGGGGGAGCCCCAAAATTATGGAAACCCCCATCTCTGGCAATGGAATACCGTCATTTTTCATGGGAACATCATCCATAGATGGATAGCGTGGGAGGGATTTTCCAAGGCGTAGCGAACCTTGGATAACGGGATGCTACTGGGATAATGTGCTATAACCATCCACAATGGGGCTTCAACATCAACAAAGGGAGTAAATATGGATAATCATATATATATATAATATACATATGGTTTATGGTCATCCACCCCATGTCATGGGAATCCTTACAATGGTCTTTTTTTCACCAGGATTCATGATCATCTCCCTATCTGGTGAATTGCCCAAGATTTGACCTTGGCACATATGAAGGCTTAAGCTATTCAAACACCAATAAAACACACAAGCTTTACTAGCCAACTACTTGACCTTGAAAATGGGATACGCACAAAATCCCACAAATATCTGTGGCAACCTTAGGTACCCCCAAGAAATAGTTGGGTATTATTATCATATTGCTATCATGAGTGTGTTTATTTTTTTAATATACTATTAAACAGATTCTCCCATGGCAAAAGATTTCGCAACACCCCAGATTTACCTCTCGGCCAAGGTGCGTGATAAAAATAGGCACAGGTGCCTTTCCTGATACCCGGCGGCCCGGCAGGGATAATCCCATGGCTGGGAAATCCCACTGGGACATTTTCATGGGAAGTTTTCATCGACTGACCGGGGATTTTCGGGATTTTCCAGCCATGTTTTATGAGGGTAGAAGCAGTGGTTCGATGGGAGGCTCGCAGGCCGAACGCGAAATCTAGTGAATCTAGTGACTGGATCAGAGCGGAATACGGGCATACCCGGAGGATCATCATTCTATTATATTCTATTTAAGTAAGTGGTCAGTAGATAAGTTTGGCAATCCTTGCCATCAAAAATCCTCAAGTGGATTGACTCACATTTACCAAGTCAACTCCACTTAAGGGTATCGTTTGAAACTATCCTATTATAAAATACAAATCACCATTATTTCCTCATTCTTACCCCATTATTAACCCCTTACCCTCTGGTAAACTAACACAAGTATATAAGTATAGAAAATCACCATTTTGAATAGGTAAATCAACTAGAAATGGTTGATTTTCATTTATTTTCAATAGTTAGGTTAAATCACCAGAGGGTAAATTCAATCACCATGACATCACCAGTATAAACCACTCAATTCCAACGATCGCAGCTCGCAGCTCATTTCGCCAAGCGACAAGCCATAGGTCAACATCTCCAAGACGCCTATAGCAATGCCAAACTAAGGATAGAAATTTAGTGTTTCCAGGACCAGGATGGTAGATGATATTTCGGAATTTCCAAGTTTCTCCCAATTTTTCGGGTTACTGTCTGTAATTCGGATATAAAACTGCGAACTATGATCAACGGGGTATCCACCAATCTGAAGGCTTCCTTTGATGGTCAACCCCACGGATAAAGCACCAATTTTTCTCAACTCCTCGGTTACTTGGAATAAACCGCACATTTTTTCCGCTTTCCTCCTATTCAACCCACTTTTTTTGAGGCATGTCACCCAAAATCACACAAACATCCCAGGGTTTCCGTATGTTTCCATATGTTTCCATCATTTTTCGACTTTTCCCCAAATTTTTCCAGGCCCAAAATCACCCGTTGCTCCACCGCGTTTCCGGCGAGGCGCCGAAGATGTCCTCGTTGCCAACCAGGGCGGAACGCGCCAGGATGCCACTGGGAGCTGCCAACTTCAGAAGCGCCTGGAAAGAGTTTAATCAATAGTACTATAGTAATATAAGTATCATACATTTAACAGTACTATATAGATGTTACTAGTCATATAGTATTACTATATCAAGTTTTATATACTGCAGTAGCATTACTAGTAGTTTAATAGCAAATACTATAGCGAATGTACTATATAATTAATGGAAACTACTAGTACTAATTATATAATTAATGGAAACTACTAGTACTACTTAATAATGAAAATGATTGGTCATTACCAATAATGGAATCATAGCAATAGCATTAACTATAATAGTATGTAGTACCATAATATTAACGATGGTTAATGATGGGTAATCGGTAATAATGTTTATTAATGGTTTCCAGTAGCAGTAGCATTCCAAGTAGTTTCCAGTATATAATTAATGGATATTAATAATACTAGAGCAGTTTAATAGTAAATTATTATATTAGGAAATTCCTATGTATCTAGTATATACTACTAAAAATAGTAATCACTATAATAGGACACATCCGGAATTAACACTATTTGTAGCATTAGTAGTAGCACTACTAGTAACATAGCAGTAGCATTAACAGCATTAATAGTAACAGTAGCTAATATATCTTTTTTTTTTAAAAAAATATCATGCTCATGAATCAAATTATTCCATAGTATTTACTGTAGTATGTTCTATAGTATCCATAGTGTTAATATCGTATACTGGCATATAAGATCTGATACAATGTAGATGATCTTTATAACATATTTGATACAATATCTGTATAGTATCTATATAGTTTGGAAATTATTCTTGTGTTTTGCTTTTTGAATATTGACGAATGTTGTATTAACTAAAGTAAAATACGTTTGATATGATATTAAATATGATGTTAATAGTGATTGACACGATAGTGATTTAATGATCACAATCCCATCGTACTGGTATGATGTGGGACACCCAATGCCATAAACCTACCAAACTGCTTTGGGGATGGTTTGTAGGACCCATTTATGGACATTCAGTGGATGTTTTATTGGGTTTGCCACATTCAAAAAGTTAGTGCCAGCAATTCATAACCTCCTGTTAGTGATAAAACACATATATCAAAAAAACATATCATGGTTAGTCAGAGATGAAGACATGGTCTTAGATATAGCCTGGTTTGTTATAGCAGCCGGACTAGCATCAATGACTATGCAAATTGGCAAAAAAAAACGCACCAAACCTGAAACATCCATCAATGATTTTGGGTGCATACAAGTATGGGAAGGGTATTCAATATTGAATATTGGATTGGCTGTATCTATACACACACACATATATATATAGGTATATACCGTTTCAGGATGGAGAAACCATCTTAAACCTACATTTTTGATGCGTAAATCACAATTTTCAATAGGGGGAAACATATCAATATACTGCAACTGTTGATTCTTTTAATGTAAACTTAATATAATTTGGTGATTGGTGTGAATCAAGGGACTACTATCACCTACATAGTCTTATATCTACTTAAATCCGATTGTATCTCCAAAACCTGTTGGTTTTAGACCTCAAATTATTGTGGTTAAACACCTAAAAGACAACTTTTGTTCCTGAACCTTCAAAGTCTAATATTGTGAAGCTAAGTATTAGATATGATTAATAGTGGTTGATAATGATTGATAATCCCATCCATCAGTTTTTCTTGGCTAATATTACAAAGATAGAAATTCAATTACCCATTATGATTAATAATCGCATCCAATCCTTAATACTTATTCATTAGTATCCCTTGGGTGCTAGGAGGAAGGGTAAAAAAACGATAAAAATAAAATTACCCACCCCTCTGGTAGAATAAAATGCCAAGTATCTGAACATGTTCAGACAAATCTGGATTATAAATAATATTTGATATAGATCCATAATTCATTTGTTTCTAGTAGTAACTTAACAATATTTAATAAGAATCTGTAACCTTAAGTCAATTCTGATGAATAAATATGAGTCATCTCATCCCATCCGCAATAGCCCTAATACACATCCACTAATAATCCCATCCATGAATACTTTGTATTCCATAGGCATCCAGCCCAAGTACTGGATTAGTTGGCCCAACATTTCATATCACGTTAGTTATATATTCTATACTATATCTCACTACATCCCTATGATATCACCATTAAACTACTACATTCATAGCCATGGCTATCGGTAGCCCACGGCCATGGGGCCTCTGTCGAGGCCTTGGCCTCTTCAGGGGTGGCGGTGTAGCCGGCAGCCTTGCTCGGAATCTCCATGGGGATGGATGAAAATATCCAAGCTATACCTATGTTAATTATGTAAATGTTAGATTGGATCTATCTGATCTATCTATATAAATATATAGAGTATTAATACATGCACAAAACATTTATAAATATAACACACACACACACGTATATATATATATATGATATATGATATATATATATATACATACATAAATCTATACATATATATATAACACATATTTTAAATACGTATATATATATATTTCATAAAACACACACACATATATATATAATTAATCATATATATATATATGTATAAACGTGTAAAAATATATGATTATATGTAAAAACATATATATGTATATATATATATATATGTATATATATATGTATATATATATGTATATATATATATTTAGAACAATAATAAAAAAGAACATAATAACAAATAAATTAACTAAATATGTGTATAGATATATATCATACGATGTAAGAGCATCTACAAAATATCTATTCTAGCAAAAGTACACATACACATATCAACTGTACATCATATGTATATCAAATAATACATAGACATATATATATATATAATCAATGAATAAATAAGTAAATAAATGAAATAAAAACACACACATATATATATATGATTATATATGTATATATACATATCAATTTCCACTGTATATGTATGTGTACTATAAAAACAAAATCATCAAAGGAAGTTTAGAAGTCTAAGCTCCTGTCCAAAAGTGGAGAGGTTAGAGATGTGAAGAGATGAAGGGTTGCGCAGAGGGTAGAAATTGCGATGTGGGGAAATGTGTTTGTGCGACGGGTGCGGCTCGCGCTCGGTTTGCGCTCAGGTGGCGTAACAGTGGTCCGCTTTGTCAGCGCTGCACGGACCTGATCTTGTGTATCTGTGCAGGCAGGAACAATGTAATTTGCAAGGGGGAAAAAGACGTCCAGACAAGCAGCAAGCAACCGGAAGGTCTGTCAAGATTCAGACATGTCAGGAGCAAGCGGGATCAAGAGAAAGTGGCAATATCAGACAAGCTGTCGAGAAGAAAGAAATGTCAAGGACAAAGAGTTCCAAGAGATCACGGAGTCAACGGCCGTGCCAGCCAGGCTGCCAGGCGTCGTTCCTATAGGCTTTCCCTTTTCTTTATAGCCTTCCCCCCTTCCGAAACTTCTGTCACCCGGCTTGCCCGGGCCCTACTTGACGTGTGGCCCAGTAAAATCAAAGCAGCTTGCCAATCTGACATGGTGTCATGGCCTACGAAAGCAGCAGGCCCAAGGCCAAGATCCATCCCACCTGTAAAGTCCACAAACTTGTCTCCAAAGTAGACTGTCCTCAGCACCCCTCTCAGCTGCTCGCACAGGTTCTTAGACACGTGCTGAGGCAGGCCGTGCAAACCAGTGGAACGAATTACCTTCACAAGGCACTGGCATTGCCTTGGGAGGGACCGGCTTTGCAGAGATTGGTCCAGGGAGTCTCGCCTTTGTAGAGATTGGTCCAGGGAGCTTCGCCTTCTTCCTCGGAGGACCTTCCGGAGCCACTGGAGGACACAATCGTGGCACTGCAGGCGCAGCCACTGGCGCCACTGGCACTGAAGCCACTGAAGGTGAAGGTGCAATTGGAGCTGGCTGTGCTAGCTGACATACCTCTAGTTGAGGTGCCTGGTTAACGCAAAACTTCTCAAAACTGGGAACACCGTGATGTTGGCATGCGGCACCTTGGCTTGGGGAAAGGCCGCTCAATTTCTGTTGATGGGGAAACTGACCCTTGGAAGATCACGTACCTCTAGCTTGCTGAAGAATGGGACTATTTCCTCCAGCTGTCGCGGCAAGTCAATGCGAATGCCAAGGCAAGCCTTCTTCAACATCTCGTGAGATCCGTGCCGTGCCCGTCACAAATGATGTACTTCACACTGGCAGAGTTACCAAGGACCACCCCCATACGGAAAAGTGTCTCATATAACATAGTTCGTCGTTAGTACGTGTAAGATATTCACAAAATGTAAATGATTGTTCACACGTTTTTGATGTTAGAGGATCAATATTTTCTGTAGTTGTTGGGAAGTTTCGACCTTGAGACTTTTGGTGCATCTACAGAAATTGAGTTCTGGCGAGCAAAAATGAAACGGTGGGACATCTCCAAAATTGCCTCGTTGGGGTAGCATATTTTCGCCAACATGGTTTAATTTCCCTCAAGTAAACTAACAGTTCGCTATGGCGACCACATGGTGACTCGGGTCGGATAGAAACTGGGGTCCATCCAGTTCGTCTACCCCTTGAAGTCCACTAGAAGAAACCTAATTTGCGGATAATCCCAATATAAAATATGGATGACTATGCATATCCGCATTGTATCCTCATAGTATTCACGGTTCTTTGTCATATTGCCCGATGAGATCCGTATATATCCGATATATTTCAAATATAAAATATTGTCGGTTAATTACACATATCCCCAATGTATGCAAATATATAGATATACACACGTATATCCCCAGTACATATATCCCATGATTTTCCACAAGATATCACCATTATATCATTATATCGCTACTATATCTCCCAATTGATCCGAGAAAACACAGTTTAAGATATTCTTTCCCACTGTGTCCCACTTATATCCCTACTATATCCCCATTATATCTCTACTATAACCCTGGTTGAGACATTATAGTAGGGAACAACTCCCAACAAAATATGATATTTCCGCACTTTCCCTAGTATAGTTTGGCAGTTTGGGACCAGTGAACAACTCCCAATATAGTTTGGGACCAGGGGACTCAAATTTCCCCATAATATATAATGATATTCGGTTATATCCACATAACATAACATCCCATGATATTCCCATGAACTCGCACCATTGTTGTTAGTTATATATATATATATCATGTTAAAACACAATTTGTCGATATTTTTCTTGGGAAACTCATCATGAAATCCCACCATTTACCCATAATAGTGGTAAAATATGGGATACATACTAAAATGGGATTCTAATGGTGGGATAATAGCGGTATATAGCGGTATTATTAAACGGTGTAATGGTGGTATAATGGTGGGATTTCATGTACATTATTCACCTACTATATCCCCACAAAGACATCCCCCTACTTGCCGAGCGAGGCCTTGCTGGGTGGCAGCTTGGGGATGGTGGCATTGGCCACGGGTCCTTCGAATCCTCCGTGTTTCAGGTGGTCCTGGTGGCCGGGGAGTTTGCTGGTAAAGTTTGGAGATTAACCTATCCGAAGCAGTCAAAATGGTGGGTTTCACCAAGACAAATAGGGGATTTAAATGGACTTAACACGATTTAATCCACACTCATGATGAATTGAAGCCACCAAAAGATACAAAAAGGACTGTAGACTTGTGCGCCAACCAGACACGCCCCGCGCTGAACTTCTGCTCGCGAAATTCCAACCTCTTCTCGCCAGAATCTTCGCAGAACACGGTCGCCTGCCTGGGGCCGTGGCGTCGCCCTCCAAGTGCACCGGCAGCCAACACCGTCTTCTCAGCAAAATCAGGGCCACGTCTGCAGCACACGCTCACCATCCCTATTGGGCCATGGTAGGGGCACCACTCCGCCCCACGAACTCACACAACAAACATTGGAATTCAATCCACAAAAAAGGATCAAACATAGGGATTTCAACAACAAATCTGAGGATTGAACCAAAAAACGGGGTGCTTCAACTAAGAAAACACAGCAAATAAGCGATGCGTATACATATTTCAGGAACGACAATGGACGCTTAACCAACAGGCACCAGAGGTGAAGCAGCCAAATATGCAGAAACATGGCTGAATTGCGGAGAAATACAAGGGTAGGCTCTGGCGCACAAAAGCATAAGCATGGGGATCAGAAACATGGGAAGAACGTGATCTTTACCGGGTTGACTTGAGAAAACTAACTCAGTAAACAATGGCTTTTGCTATTGAACAAACAATGGCTTTTGCTATTGAATCGGAAGGGGTTATAAAGTGTTATAAAGTTATATGTTAAGCTTCTCTGTACAATTTCCCACAGAAACTTTTCTGAGACGATTTTTACAACACGGAGATGTTGGTCATACATGACTATGAATATTTCCGCGGGCTCTAATTCGACAACATGTGAACAACTTGGACTTTCATTATCATGTGGTTGGAAAACTCGATTCGTAGCTCCGAACTGCTCACCATTTCCTGTTGGGAAATGTTGATACCCCCGAGCTCCGAACCGCTCCCTCCGTTCACCACTAGATGGTTTTTATGGATTGGACGAAATTGGTATACGAAGATCCTCTTGCCGTGTTCAATAATTGCTTAGTTCATGGTAATTCCCAAGGGGTCCCCAAACACATGGGTTTCAATACTCATAATTACTGGTGATATATCTTTCTGACTGATTCAGTCACATTGTTTGTGAATCAAACTAGTTTAAACACGTTCCGTCCAGCCCGGACGTTGCTCCACACTTGCAACCATCATCATCATCATCATCGTCGTGGTCGTCGTCGTCGTCATCATCATCATCCTCATCCTCATCCTCATCCTCATCATCATCATCATCCTCCTCCTCATCATCATCATCATCATCATCATCACCATCATCACCATCACCATCAGTCACCCCCTCTGACAAATATGTTGAATAAGGAATAACATCAACTTATCTTCATAAGGGATCAACAATCCCACCATCTCCTTTGACAAATATGCTGAATCACAGAATAGCATCAACATATCTTTATAAGGGATCAACAAATCCTCCACCCCCGGTGGCAAATATGCTGAATCTATCTGAATCTGATAATAGCCTCAACTTATCTTTATAAGGGATGGTGATGATGATGATGATGATGATGATGATCATGGATTACATATACATCTACATTCTACATATTGAAAGTCCACCGGCATGGCATTTCAAGAATACGCAACCCTTCCGCAATTCTGGCGGCGGGGGCAACGTCAGGGTTGCACCGAACATGTTTAAACCACCAGATCTGATGGTTAATTCACATTAAGTCACCATTTTCACTGCACTCACCATCATTTCTGATCAAATTGCCATCCCCATGGATCTCTCCTCCATCTTCTTGATCAACTCATCGCATTGGTAGATGTAATGCACGAAGCGCAAGTTATTGAAGTTCACGTTCCTCGCGGCTTCGACGCGGATGGGAGAGTGAAAGTCGAGTTCGGTGTGTTTTTGATGTGGGAGAAAACCCCAAGTTTCAACCAACCATCCCCCAAGTCATCAGCATTTTGATGCCTTGGAGTTCAACGTTTATCCCCAAATGGTTGCCCACATTAGTTGGGAGATGCTTCCGATACAGTGGGTATTCCCTTAGTGAAACTAGTTCTGACTAAACGAGTGTCAGTTCTTCAGCCTTTCCTGGATCTTCCCCACTGGTGAGCTCGAGCCCTGTCGAAGCCCCAATGATGGTGAAGACTCGCCCAGAATCAATGTGGTTATTGGTGGTTCAATCTTACAACATCGACCCTTATTGTTGGGGTGTGAGCTTTGGGGGTGGCTGAATCATGCTGAATCCCTAAAACATATGACATAACCATGTGGAATAACTGGGTCATACTTCTCAGGTAGGGCATATTGTCAGGATTGGCCCTGGCTTCAACCTTCACCATCCTGTTTGGGGGTCCGGGGATACCTATCGCATACACAGTTGAAGAGATTCTCATACCAAGGATTTATATAATTTGTATGGATGGATCAAAACCTATTATACCATGTTTTGGCAATTAAACATCCACTTATCATCTAATTCTAGTTATTTTGGGGTTCACCAGGGTACGAGGGTTTTGACCCAAAGCGGTATAGTCAAAGTCTCAGCTCTAGTGCGACCCAGTGTCGTCAGGGTTGAGAAGAGAGACTCCAAGACCAAGTGCCTGAAAACGGGAGAAGTTGGAACGGGGGCGTTGAGCCACAACAAATGAGATTTAACATGATTTAACCAGGATCAACATTGGATTTCAACCAACATACAGGTTGAGTTTAGTAAAATCCCATGTTCCAACTAAGATTGAGGGATATTCACCAGTTACCCACAGGTCGTGGTGAACAGGTCGTCTTGTGTCAACTTCATCCATCTTTCACTGGAGAAGCGGCAAGAACTGACGATATTCTTGGTTTTGCTTGAGGAACTCAAACAAATACAACATATTCCCATATATTCCCTATAATTTCCCCAAATGGTGGATTTGCCACTGGGAAAATAAAACGTCACCTTATACCTTAAACAAACCCAGGTATTGCATATTCCATTGACATTTTCGCCCATAGCCAAGGACGAGCGGATTCCTTCCCATTCTTGTGGCGATCATCGCCCATATCTATGGTGCTGTTGAACCAATCTCATTTATCATACTGTGGATGAAAGAAATCCTGCACCACCTTGAATGGTTGAAACCCTATAAAAAAATGAGATAAACCATCAACTGGTGCAGAATTTCTTCCATCCATCATTTTCTATCATTTTTCCAGCTTTCATCCAGGAGTTTTCACATGAATAACATACCAAGCCGTCCCCCCCAAAACATTAAACCATACACTAACCCTACACCTGGTCCTGTGGTTTATGGCGGCAAAAACTGAGGGATGACCCGAATGACCCGAGCTCCCTTCCATCAAGTCAGACTTTGGTTGGCTTTGTCTCCATGGGATGGGTCAAGGGTACCACCATGTACCACCTGTTGCAGATTACACCCTTAATCCCAACGTAAGAAACGGGTTTTGCTCGGATTTTGTCACTTTTCACCAGGGCCATGCCAGATGAAACAATTTCAAACCACTGTGGTTTACAACCGGATTTTTGGCTGGTTATGTCCTTTTTTGTTGCTTAAAAACATCTTTTCATTTTGTTGCGTGGTTTTTTTTTCGCATCCATTTTAACTGCTTAGAATCGGCTCCAGTGTGTGTTTGGTAGCTACCCTCCCGGTTGAATCATTGAAACACCCCATATCTCTATCGGCACACAGGTTTTTACATCCCGTGATGTCTGCTCTGGAGTCTACCAGAATTACAAAACCATTTTTTGCATACGTATGTGCTCCAATCACATTTTTCCTTGGTTTAACATGGTTTTCCTCATGTTGAACCACTTTTTTTAGGCGCCAGGTCATCAGCCCCCAATTTGTTCTCCCAGGTACCGACACTGCTCCTCATAGGGTCCCGAATCGATGGCGGCAAGTTGACAGAGACGGAAGGAGAATTGCATCTGGGCCGACACACTTGGGGTTGAGAAGTTCGTTCGGCTGGGGACATCCGAAAAATATCAATGGAAAAATCTCATGGGAATTTATGATGGGAATATCATCAATAATGGAACATCTCATGGGAAAATATCATGGGTATGTAATATGGGCAATGGGAACAGAATTTGAATAGCATAAGGGTTTAGGATAAATCAGCTGTTGGCAGAAAACTCTTGTTTTTTCACCGTTAAAAAAGGGGACCTATCACCCCATGGTTCTATGGCTGATGCGAGAGATGGGCCAGCTATGCTGGTCTGTCTCAAAAAGGGCTGTGAGATGTCCCTTACGAAAACCGTGCTGGATCTGTTCATTATGGGATCCATTGGGGGCAAGGGTTGTTATGGAATGTTCATATGGCAACGCACATATACTCCAACCATATCCCCGCACAATAGGGGGTGAAGGTTGGCTTTTCAATAGGGAGTGCACGAGCAAATCCAAAATGGCGAGGCCACATGGATCAGTTCGACAATTCCCTGCGTCCACTCTAAATAGGCGCACCCAACAAAACTCTGGTTGTTGCGAGTCAATGAGCCGTCCCAACCGGACCCATCGAATGGCAGAACCACAACTTTGCGGCACGGGTCATAGCATTCAGCCTTCAAAAACATTATCATGAATCTTCCCAGCACGACCAGCAATACCCATCGTCAAACCTTTTGCGCTGGTCCTGCCTCTGCAATCAATCTTGGGCACACTTGTGGTTCACAAACAGTACTGGTTTGAAATTTGTTGAATGGTTCTGTATATGGCCTTGTGAAATCTCCGGATGGCAAGATTGGCTTTCAACAAGGCTTACTCCCCCAGCTATATATCCATAATGTTGAAATTGTTTCCTCCTTTGAAATCAGGAGTTTTGGGCCATAGTTGTCTAGCAGAAATTATCCATGGGCCTTACCCTCCGGTTTTATCGAACATGACCATGGGAAAACCCCTTTAATCAACCCGTCCCAGGCTTTCCGAAACTGCTCATGGGGGCAAAAACTTGATACTGCCTGGTGAATTCGACAATCATTGGCTGACAAATGCTTGTTTTTGAAGTTGTTTCCACCCAAAAAATGAATAAACATTATAGTTAGGTTTTGAATCATACCATACCCAACTATACCCAAATGGCCTATAGCAACACCGAAAAAGATTGACAAGTATTGACAAGTAACATCCAATCCCAAAAATATTCTGAACACCTACCCGGAAATTTAACAGTTTGCTATTGAACATGACCCATTTATAATCATTTTTGATTTACCGAACTTACCCTCTGGTAATTTGTTACATAGCTATTGAAAATCACCATATATAGTGGATTTTCCCATTAAAAATGGTGGATCTTTCCATAGTTTTTTGTATGTTTACCAGAGGGTAAAGATTGTGATTTTCCACTTCGCAGCCTGTAGATCCTGCAAGCCGGCGGTATCGGGACTCTTCTTGCACACTCCTTGCTTAGCAAAGCGTCCGTCGTGTGTTGTCTGTAACGATTTATGGACCAACGTTAGGGAAAAATGAACATATTAAGCAAGTATCAACTGGTCATTTCTTGATCAGTTATTCTGAAGATATGGTCACTTTAGGAAAATCATGATCCGTTGTCAATATTTATAATGGGAAGAATTACTGTAATGGAAAATAGGGGGACAAACATATCATGGGATAATAATGAGGATGATTATGGTGGGGAAATAATTAGTGGGATAAACAACTCATAGGAATCCAACATATAGGAAATGGCTAACCTTATGATCTTTATCAGTGGATGGGATATCCTATGATCAAACAAAGCCAACTCCAGGTAATAAGAGGGTCACACCAAGGATCGAAACTGGTGGGCCAATCCCATAGGCCGTTCGATCTTTCGCTCTTGAAGGAGTTCAACAGTGGGAAACGGTGAGTTTCCATTCATGAAACATGGATCTGGATTACCTCAAACCTACTGGTGCAATCCCGGGAGGGCCCCCAAAAATACCGATCCCGTACTTCATTAGGGATGGGCTTATAATTCGCCAACATATATTCTGATTGGTTTTTAGCAATCCCACAGATAGGAAGTCATCTCAAATGATCATCATACCAAATATGATCATAACTGGATCATACATGATCCATCCAAACTAGATTTATATAAATATAAAGCTTTCGTTTCTACTCACTTTAACTGTTCTTCGATACGAGACTTTCCCAAACATGGATCCAAATAACAGATAGTTGAAATATGTCTATGGGTCCAACTTGAAGACCTGGGTGACCACAGGTTGTAATCTATTTCTTATATTCGCCATTCAAATATTGGTACCCAATTTTGACCCATACGGTATGGAACATTATATATAGCTCTGAACTATTTTATATATTATAGTTCGTAAATGGGGTACCCCAAAATGGATGGTTTATAATGGAAAATCCTATTAAGATTGATGATTTGGTGGTACACCTATTTTAGGAAACCTCCATATCTTGAAATCACCAATATTCCATGTTCCACCCCTCCTGTAGTTGTGCAGCCCCTGCCAGCATTGGTCTGCTCGCACTGATAGCACATCATCTGTGCGGGCTGTGATGCTAAAACCAACACAGTAAATTGACACAGTGCTTCAGGAATATTGGGAATCATCATTGGGAATCATTCATTAAGGATTGTCATTGGATAATCCATGGACATCGATGGGAATTAGTATTCCATTGATGAGCTATGAAAAAATCACAAGTGGGAATTGTATATTGATAGAATAACCCATAGTATAGTTCTCAGTGATGATATTTTCATCAATAACTCAGAGTTCCATCCATAGATGTCAAATTTTTATGGCCCTTTTATGGCTGCCGGCTGAAATCAGTGACCTGTGAACTACGGCCACCGTGCGGCACCAGCGTTTTGGTCCGTGGCCATCTGGATCCCTCTATCCAAAGGTTAGAGCAAGAAATGGACGACTTCGACCCCGGGAAGTTAGGAGCCGGGAAGTTAGGAGCAACATGTCATTTATAACTGTTCTGTAGCATCCTGAGAAAAGGCTTCCTAGGAACCCTAAAAGGAATTATACTCCTCAATCACAACTACCTATTTCCGAACCAGGATCCCCAATGGCTAATATGGATATTGAGACACTTGAAAACTCTTTTGTCCCTTTCAAATCCATTCCAAATATTTTTTCCCACACTTTTCCCCATATTTCCACATATTTTCCCATCATTTTCCCTACGAAAATGGCCAATAATTTGGGGTATCCCACTTTCCCCTGCCTGTGGCGCCCTTAGGTCTTCCATTTCCGGGGCTGCTACAGCGGTGGCCATGGCGTTGCGACAGCGGCGGGTCACAGCTTCGGGTGATTTCTTTGGCTCCAAAATGGCACTGGCGCAAGGAGAACAACTTCAAACCATCCCCCCAAAACTACGAAACAACTCGGTTAATAAGTGATGGTTAATGTTCCCCGGGTTTCGCCGGATTTGAATACTTGGAAGGAAGTAGATTCTGGTGGGATGGAACAATGCCGGAAAACAACCAAGACAACGGAGAGACTTGGAGGCAAAGTGCTATGAACCAACCAATTCAAGGGGTACCAAATTTTGACATACATCCGTGCGGGAAAAAAAACAACGGGTGGGCTTATATCTTTAAGATTCATGGGATGGTTTTCCATTAAAACACCCAGAGGTGCCTGTACAACTCTCAATTTTCCCCAACCCCAGAAGTATAGAATTCAGAAAAAATGTGAATGCCAAACTTTAGACGTCGCTATACCAACCTTGGGGTAATTGGGCTACTCGGCTTAAGGACATTAACAGTCCCTAGCCCCCAACTATCTTCGGCCAGTTTTACTTGGTTGTGTTTTCTGACCCCCTGGTAAGTTAGTTTCACTTGTCGTGGCCTATGTCTGAATATGTGGTAAGTCCAAAACACTACAAACATCTACAGTAGTTAAATGTATGGCGATCAAATCCATCCAGTGAAAACCATTATTTGGATCATGCCTCCACTATAGGCAAATAATAATGCATTTCATACATATCTGTATATATAATTATATATAACTATGTATATATATATATATCTATCTCTATGTACATGTATGTATATATAACTATGTAAATCTATTATATTAAACTGATACTTCTGATGTCAGTCTTTACTGATCATCGTTCCAATCGCCTCTGGGCCACCCGCACCTCGCCGCCTCCTAGCATGCCGCGTCACCCGCGTCACGATTCCAAGGCATTTGGCATGTCGCCTACTTGGGTTTAACCCTCTACTTACTGTAGATCTGTAGCCAAAATTGGTATTTCACCATCCCAAATGGTGTTTTGAGCAACAACAATGGTGATTTAAACAACAAACATGCTAGAAAAAAAAACCATCAACAATGGGATTTCACGAGCAAAAACGGGGATAGAATATGATAGAATGGGACATCCGTCACCCATTTTATATGATATATGGGAAACATTCTTGGAAAAGCCATGAAATCGTTTTAGGCCATGGAAGGCACATCTAGCCTTCTCCATTTACTGGCCATATCTGGCCATACATAAGCTTTTCATCAATTTTTTGCGTCCCATTGGCTGGGAATCTTGTCTCACCTCGTTCCAAATTGATGGCAAAAAACATGTAAAGTGGGTAAAACAATGTCATAAACCACCCATGACTGGGAATGGTTCATACCACCTATGGTGATGACTGGGGGATGGTTTATTATTGTTTTACCGACATTAGCAACTTTTAGCCATCAATAGTGAATTATGATTTTTAATGGCCAAATAATGGATAATCATGGATAATTGCAATCAGGATCTAATAGTAAATATGGTCATCAATCATAAACATGCAGTAACTAAAATTATTTATAGCCAGCCATGATGTGCGGGGGTTTAGCACTGTTTAATCGAGCCATGACATATACCCCTATCCAATCTCATTGTAGTAGTTGAGAGGTTTCCCTACTATCGATTGGTTCATTCATCCAAAATAACCTAGGTAGTATAACTCCCTTCAAGTCCAATCAACCATCAGTCAGCCATCATTTATCAAAGATGTCCTATATATTTAGTGTCACACCTAATTTGGGGATTCTTACAACCTGTATAATAATCAAGCAACACATATCAGCCAACAGAATGTGTGGGTGTTTGTGGTATTTTAAACCAATGCTACGGATGAAGTATATACATTAAATTATATACTATATGCATATACCTATTAAAATGGTGATATGTTCCACATAAATGGTTATTTTGCCGCAAGGTAAAAACATATCAGTCTTTGAACCCCTTGAAACAAGGTCGGTTTCGGATCTTGGGCCTCTTGGGCCTTCATCCGTGGGGTAATTTGAAGGTTTTGGTGATGGGGGTCCTTTCTGGGTATTTCAACATAGCTGTGGAAAATACATATGTTACATATTGTTACATATTTATAGATACATATTTCTAGATGATTTCAATGATTGAGATGATTAAAAAGGGGTGGTGTTCAAAAGAATATGTCCAAAACAATACTTGAACCCAACAGGAGTTGAATGCTTAATGTTCAACCATAGAAACAGAATAACCATGAATAAACCCAACCATTTGAGCGCTAAAATCAGGTTTTCAACAGAACATGAGAAGTACGCAGGATCACCGTCCTCACGCGCTGCTTCAAGTAGTCCATGCATGAGCTGCAGCTCTGCACTCCAGCTGTGCAACCTGGTGACCGGAGAAGAACCAGTTCTGGACCTGAAAATGGGCCATATTCACCTCCAATTCCTGGCTATTTCTATGCTATTTTAATAGGGAAAATCGATGTTCAACATCAAACATCAAACTTTGGGGCTTTCACGATTTTTTCAGACAAACCCATGGGGCGGATATAATATGCACCAGGGAAAACAGATATAAAATGTGAGGGGTGGGCGTGTGGTGACTTGATATCTTACACTAGTGATTTCGGATCCGGTGCAAACATGATTCAGCGATGTTCTGTTAATGTTTAATATCCATAAAAACCATGTAATCACCAGATGCAAAACGTACATTATCACCAGTATAGTGATGATATCCATATAATCACCATCATGGGATAGATAAGTGTATGGGATAAAGTATTCACCGATAGAAAGCATCAGAATGCATACCATCAGAATTACATGGGATTTTCCATTTTTTTCGTGGGACAAATACATGGGATTAGCATGATCATCAACATGGAGAATTATCATCATAATTAATATGAATAAAACCATCACGTTCATATGGAGATGAGCCAAAATTTAAGCCCCATGGGACCACAGATTTTACTGTACATGTTTAGTACTCACCATCTAGTTAATCTAGTTAATCTAGTTAATCTAAGTTAGCCCATTTTGACCTATACCCACGATCCATTGGAAGACCCATATTACCAGCCCACCCCAAAAAACCTGCTGTAGTTTCTCCACGCCGATGGCTGCGTCGCTGTTGCGCGTCCAAGGGTCGTCACCTTGGAAACCGGGAATTGTTGTAGGGGTCAGGTGAGTTGGGACCACATACCACGGATATGTTTTATACTGGCGTAATCAGAAACGTGGCTAGCATGAAAATCCCCGCACTAGATGGATGTTTTAATAGGACCGTCATCTATAGATAGGGATGATTACCGGAAGGTAAAACAGCAGCCCCAGAAAAGATAGGAACGACAACTCCTGCTAAAACAATGGCAATTTGCTGTTCTATCTTTTTGGGATTGAGAGAAACATGAAGAACATAGCAATGGATCAAATTGTGCTCTGACAAAGATTCGGAAGATTGCGCTATATACGGTACTCTTGGTTGATATCTCCCCAGTTTTGGACTCTAAATTACCAACCACTACGTGTCAATAACTTCCAATTTGAGTGATTCAGGTGCGCCCCCCGCCCAAACAAATAACCCCAACACCTATCAAACATCCATGAGTTTGGCCAGTAAAAACACTAAGACGATCCCTGAAATGGGCGTCCCTGGCTCGTAGTATGGCACAAAACCCTGTTACCTTGGTGAAGCCAAAAATACCTGTGGTAGTTCCTGGGTTTTCATCCCAAAAATAGATGGAAAATGATGGGTCTTGCCACGCTATGTATTTTAAGCAGATCATTGATATGGGTATGGATCAATACCTATTAATACCATTTTTAGTGGGATGAACATCCATTTACCAGCTATTTTGGGGTTCACCAGGGGTACAGGGTTTTGACCCATCCCCATATAAATTGCCTAATCTTATGGACACATCACAAAAATTCTGGGTTCTAACTTCATCCCAGATAATATCCTTGCGAAAAAGTCACTAGCTGCCCCGCCCTGCTGCTTCATAGTTTCTCTCCAAACAACACAGGTTGATTTGGATGGCCATCGCGTTCTTCTCATTGGATAGTTGATGAATGTTGATGATATTTGAATGAGTTTGGATAAATACCAGCCACTCCTCAATTGATTTTGGGGAACATCTATAGGAAAACTTGGCTGTACCGGCTGTGCCATCCAAAATCCAAGGTGAAAATTTCAACCCCGTCCTGTCACATTTTCCGCAGCCCTTTTCACGCCAGCATCGACCTTTCTTCCCCACTTCCGTGCTTGACAGCACTTTCCGGACTTTCCATCACCGGCCGCACACTTTTAGGTTGTGTCGTCACCAGCTTCCAGGGATTCTGCACATCGCAGCAATCTTCCGCAATCTTCTCCGGATCGCCATCATCTCAGGTTCTGCACATCAGCACGGCCAGGGCCCACAGCTGCTGTCATCCTGTTGGTCACGGGGAGGTCTCTCCAGGCAAGGTCTTGAGCTTTTTGGCCGGAAAGATGCCGATGAGAATCCTGAGTGGCAAGGATGGTTGGATGGCTCTGGGCAAATTCGAACCAAGGATTCCTGACCCATCATTTTCAGCTTGGTCGGCTAAGGGTGCGAGCTAACTGATCCAGACGACTAGAATGAGGTGAAACTCCGGTTTTCCACTTTATCCCAAGGCGATTGAAGAACTGGATCACTGGATCAATTTATTGAAATTCAGCCACGTGTTCAGCTACAAAAGGTCACTGTTTTGCGGTATCGCCAATTTTTCGATGACCGACATCGGATGAACAGCTGCCCTTGATCCCATCCAGGTGGCAGTTGGACGCAGGACAGGAGGAAGCCAATGAAATTCCTTAGGTGTTCATCTGGGGGATTCCATAGGGATTGAGCACAAACCATTGGTGATATGGTGATCTAATGGTGTAAACACTTTACCAACGATGCTTGTTAAAGGCTGAGTTTCTTTAGTATGAGTCATATGTTGTCATCAAGCAACATTTGAATATACTTTGTGCTCACCACTCACTTGATCTTTGATCTTGTGGCCTTGGATTCCTTGGATCCGCACACTTTTCCCATTTTGATCTCAATGTCCTCGATTACATCATTCATATTTCATTACCAATGAATATTCAACCCGAAACCAAGGATTTAAATCTGTGGTACCTATTCTTTCTAGAAGTAGATTAGTGTCAAAAGATCATTGGAAACTCTGTTGCGGTGGTTAATGAGAATTTCCAGCTCAGGGATCATGAGAGAGATATATATATATATACATATATATATATTTATATATATATACATGTAGTATACTCCCTTGAATCACTAACCAACCATCATCTATCCATATCTATTCATTACATCCCCATACTATAGATATCTTTAGATGCTTAAACCCCTATGAATGATGGTTCAACCCCACTCAAAACCTAATCAGTCAGGTTTTCGTGAATAAACTCCTGGTTCTACACCTATATCCCCACTATATTCCACTGTATATCCCATTTTATATGCCCATTCTATCCTCATAAAATGGTCACAGATCACCAGCCACTCCATTTCCGTTTGTCCAGCTCTATTCTGCACACATTTCTCCGCATTTTTACATAATATGTTGGTTATTATCCGACCATAATCCACTACACATCCCATTATTACACTAGATAATCCCATATGTTGAGGATGATAGCTATTATCTCACTATTTTCCCCCAATTCTCCCATATGTTGCTTATAATCCAGTATATATCCCACGTTTTTATTATCCTATGATGTTCCCATAGTAGATCCCCTGGTTATATCCCGCCGTCATCAGCAGCCATTTCTGTTGACTGAGGATCGGTACCCAGAGAGGCTTGCTGTCATGACGCCGTCCGATGTAACACCAGCATCCGCTGCACAACCTGCTGGGAGCACAAGAACTGGATGTGTCTGTCAGATACCGGGTATACCATGTGCCTGTCTATCAATATATAATGCATTAATATGGTGCCATAATTCTTGCAATAATAATGTCTATCAATACCAATAATGGTAAATAATGGTTAACGGTTATAAGACCACCAGCCAACATATGGATAGTATACCCTCCAGTAATTTAACCTAGCTATTGAAGCCATGGCCATTTAGTTCCTTAATTTACCCGCAAAAAATGGTGATTTTCCACAGCTATGTTAGTTTGCCAGAGGGTATGTGTTTAGTTGGATTCATAAATCCATGCAAATTGAACGACTATTTCAAATTTCATCACATTTCCATGCTCTCAACAGACTTGTCATGATCAAATATAACGATATTCAATATATTGTCATGATCTTGGTAGTGATATGATTGTGATAGGATTATCACATTACGATATATAAATCCCATCATAAGATTCCACACATCCAAATTGCCAGGTGCAATTCTGCACAGATAGCTAATCTCAGATTCTATTTTCTGCATCATCTAATACCTATAAATATCCACAGTATTCTTGACAATGATTATCTGACAAAATCACATGACCCCATGAGAAGATCACATCCCATGATTGTCCTCCAAACCCATTATACCCACCCCCATCATTTTCTCCCATTCTAGTTCCTATATACCTCGTTATATTCATGGGTTTTCCCATCATTTTCCCACCATAACTACACCACCCCCATGGAATCCCATGGGATTTTTCCCCATTTTTCATCTCTCCCCTTCGAGGCACAGCCCCAGCAGGCTGGGCAGCATCGGCAGCAGTTCGGAGCTCCTGTCCCGGAGGACGCTGCGCAGGGAACTCAACGGTGCGGCGAAGAGGCACACGCTGAAGAAGAGCCTTGGCTCGGATGGATGCACGGCACGGTCCACGTCGGTTGATTGGTAAAAAAATGAGGATGAAAACCACTGAAACATGGGATTTATATGATCATATATATATATATATAATTGAATAGGATTGACCACTAAAACATGGAATTGATATATTGTATGAATTCAAAGATGCAACCACTTCACTTTGTTCTACTCCGCAGCAAGCGTCTCAAATATGAAAGAATGAAAACGAAATCCACTAGTTTGAGCTGAACACTCCAGAACAAGATGCCAGTGTTGCATCTTAAGCACCGGGGCCGGTTTCACATATGTTTATATGGTTATGGATAGATGTAGCGCCACGACCATTCGTGTTAGGAGATGATGGCGGAAATGTGCATTAATGGGTATATATGGTAGTCTTGAGGTGGAACGCTAAGCCTGATTGAGGAAATACCATGAAAATCATATATATATATAAATTTCATGTGATTGTAATGGGATTATCATGGTTGATCATGGTTGATGATGGTGGTTAATGGTTACAGTAGTCATGGTGATAAATGGTATATGTATACTCTCCAGTACTCAAACATGGCCATGGAAGATCCACCATAAATCTGGATTTCCCACTGAGATCTCCATAAAAATATGGGCTTTCCAAGTGCCATGTTTGATTGCCGGAGAGTACGTAGTACCCCCTTAAAAATAGACAAGGTTTGAATTTACTTCTGTTTGGGTTTGTCTGATGTGTTGTGTTTTTTTTCCAAAATCCCATGGTGCAGCAACATGTTCTCCGTTAAAATAGCACAACCATATGGGGGGGGGTCCTCTATTTCTGGACAAACCCACGTTTAATATTCTTAATTGCATGTCCAATTATATCCCATAATATGATATAATATGCATGTACATCTATGATTTTGCCCATTATATCCCCAATATAATAAGGTTAGTTCAGGAAGGGTCAATTTAGAATTGTTTTGGTCGGATTCCACTTTTCGAAATATCATATTGTTGGTGAATTATCTCATGCATGCGCATGGAAACGCTTGGAAGTCTATTTCCGGACAAACCCGTTTGAGCCATTAAAAACAAACACTATCCCATCTCATGGTACTAGTTGGTTGATCGACTTTACAAATATAGGTTATCAAAATCCCCAACAGTTGAGGTAGCATAACTCCCAAGAACAAGCCCAATAATGGCGGGTGATTTTTCATGGCTCAATGATGAGAATCATCCCCACTCTCATCCTATTGTGGAAACCAAAGATCTTGGTTGCTGATTAATATTCGGTATCCCCCCAAAAAATATATCTCACGTTATCATCATATGGGCTTGTCTGAAAATAAGGTACATCAAAACCCATTGGCTTCAGTATCATGTTCGATGATCTTCCCAGTTAAAAGGATTTAAAAGGACTATTTTGATCTATTTTGGGTATCCCCTCCATTTTCAGACACACTCATATGATCATATGTAAGATTGGCGATTTAAGGATAGGTCTACCCATTGGTTGGCACATTGGTCGAGACGCGCGAGATGGCCCACATGTTCCTGGCGAGATGGATTCGAAATACTGAAGTGAGCTCTATGGGAATATCATGTGGGTGTTCGATGGAATTTATAATTGGGATATTGAGGATATATGATAACAGTCATTTATCAATATTGTGGGGATTTATCTATTGCAATGGGATTTACAGTATCTAATATATATAATAAAGTATTGTAACGGACATTTATCTATTGTAATGTATTGAAATTCTATTGGAATATCTGAATATCTATTGTAATGGGACTGTAATGAAGCCCTATGGGATTCATAATTATGGGATTGTTGATCTTATTTGAATTGAAATACATGGGACTGATTTCCAACTAATTATATGTAGTTACAATAGATTCATTGCGGAAATATTGCGGCGGTTTATTCATATTTGCATCTCCGATTATTAATTGTGGGAGTATCTAAATTGATATTAATGGGATTCCCATATTAATATCAATATACAATGAGCTTGGTTATCACTTTCGGGCAACGGCACCCACATATTTCTGGAACTATGTAATGTAAATTATTCCAATGGTATGCTGCATTGCTTCCATCAGAATGGGACTATCATGGGATTATTCTGGAATTTAAAAGTGAAAAATGAACGATGGGGTCACAATTGAATGGGGATATGAACGACAATAATGTACAATTTCTGGGAATTTTTCATGGGAATACAATGGGATTTGAACATTGATTGAATATGGGAATGCAATGGGCCGATGAACCTTTGATGGGTGAAAGTGCGTCCCCGTCTTGGATCGTCGATGGGGGTCCAATTCAAAAAATGGGCTAGTCCCAGTCTGGCTTGATCACTGGTATTGTTGAGTTTCTTATACCCTCTGGTAATTTTATATAGCCATTCAAAATGGCCATGTATAGTTGACTTACCTCTTTAAAGTGGTGCTTTTCCATAGCTATGCTGGTTGGTTTACCAGAGGTTCTTTCAAATACTGGTACCAGTCACTGGTTGTCGGGTGACTAACCACTATTCAACGACCATTTCAGGAGTAGGAAGACCAAAGCCTCTGGCAGTTGATGCCTGGATGTTGCTTCAAATCCATCCAATCGCCAACAAAAACACCAAACGCATCCCATGGATTAGATGACTGTCCAACATTTTTCCCACACATTTTAACATGTGTCCCACATGTTTCAATATGTTTCCAATATTTTCCCGACATTTTCCAAAGTTTCACCCCATCTCATGAAAACCCTCAAATTTTTCCACCTCAGTCCCCATGTTCCACCGCCCAGGCACGGCGGCTTCAGGATGTAGCTGCAGCGCGGCGTAGGACAGCATGCACATGGAGATGGACAGCGTGACCTGGTTTGGAGGACTTCAGTGCTTGAACTGATTCCATTTCTGTCCCTGGCGGGGCTTGCGTCTGAACTACGACTTTGTCGAGCAGGCTGACGTCTTCTCCATACAATACAAAACAAGACAATACAACACAAGACAATACGATACAATACCATGCAATACAAGACAAGACAAGACAAGTGGGGCTTACATACAGTACCCTCTGGTAATTTAACATAGCTATGGAAAATCACAATTTTTCATGGGAAAATCCACTATAAATAGCCATTTTCAATAGCTATGTTAAATTACCAGAGGGTACCTCGAATGAACAAACGGTGGTTGAGATGCTGATGACATGATGTGAAAGAGATCATGCACAACTGACTTAAGTGACCAATCAATCCATGAATCGGTGAAGTCATTAGTGATTCTTGACAGACCTGTCAACATGATATATTGCCACCGGCATCGCAGGGTCAAACATGGTCAAACATGGTCAAACCAACATGCGATTATTTATGGGCATGAAGTTGTGTTGATAAAATATAAATGGTAGAATTCGAACGTAGTTTCGTTCTTAGCGTGTTGAAACACTACATACAAGTAACTAACATCATCGCGAAACGGAGCCACCAAAGAATAACAAATCAGATGCCGCCAATACACATTCAGATGCCGCCAAGTCATGCCACAAACGATGTGTGTAGTCAAAAACTTTGCGGGGTTTAAGTTGCGTATGTAGTACCAGTTTTGGCGGTTAGACGAACCCATTCCACGTGGGCCAAAACAATGCCAAGTGGCAATGGTTGCCAGCGCTGCAGAGCGGCTCCAGGCACCTGGCACCATTCCATGGGAAAACCCAGCCAATTCCATTGGAATTGCTACATTCAGGGGTAAAAGAACGACCAAAATCAAGTGGACACATGATCTTTTTATCAGGATCCCATGAACATGGCGGTTGAAAGGATATACCCGATGTTCAGACACAGCCATTAGGGATAGCATCTCATCCCAGCAAGATTGAACTATCGCCTGGGAAATAGGATATGGATACCGCTGCCGTAGCTCCTCTCCGATCCCCCAGGGATAATCAAATGAGTAGTTTCAGTGTCTCGACAATGAAGAATCCAGTGTTTCCATTTAGAAAGTTTTCATGTGAACAGCAAAGAGGAACAAACATGAACACCGTGTACACTTTGAAACCACCCAGCAGATCCATGTTTCTATCCCTGAACCATCTCAATACATAGAGATAATTATATACATACAATCAATGCATATATATATATACATACACATATACACATACATATATGTGCATGTGCATATATATATATATGTACATGTGTATATATATATATTAATAGATAATCTGTATATGTTGGCGGTTGACTATACGTCATTCATATTCTGTATGATTATTGACCCCCTATCTTGACTTCTATCGTCGGACCTGATTTCAAGGCGTCCAAGCGCCAAGCACTGTACCAACAGGTGCCCAGGTAGTAGATGGATGCCACCTTAAGACCAGCTGGTGCATGTAGAAGGGTCCTATCCCCTCCAAAAAAAAAGCGGAAAAGGATGTCTTTGTAAGATGTAAGCATCTGCATGTTTCATATTTCGGGGAATGTTTAAGAGCACATTTTTAAACAATGCATTTTAGGAAAACACCTAAATGTCTTAATCCCACATGGCTCTACAGCTGGGTTATTTGAGCATCTTTTGTTGGGATATCATTCGAGTGAAATCATAAAAGACACGGGTTGGATATAATCTTCTATGGGTATGATTTGTGGTTCTAGGGGAACTTATTTTTCTGCAACTTTTTGTTGTTGCTGTATCTATATGGCTCTGAAAATGGTGGATTTACCAAGGTGTAGCTCTTTTTAGAGGTACAATGTGGGAACATGATTCTGTAAACCAGGCATCTTTGAATACGACCTTTTTCAAATACGTGTTTGATGTTTACGCAGGTAGGATATGTCAGTGAGACGTAATTTGTACCATGGGTCAGGGGAAGTTGAACCCCAATATTTGGCTGTGGCGTCCCATCAGAATGGAAGGATGCCCGAACACATCTGGGTCGATATTCAACCCGAGACCTAGGACAAAATAACCTCCAATTCCGGTCGTGTGAAAGGTAGTCGCTAAAGATTCAACTGGTCAGTTTTATTGCAGATTCCCACGCCAAAACAATGTATATTATTCTATATATATGTCTATATATATAAACTATATATTAACCATTTTTGGTGACAATCGCCCCCTCTTACCATATCTTACCATGATGGTGACCTCGGCCTTGCCAGAATTTGAAGATTGCCACGAATCAGTGGCTCCGAGAATTTCTAAAGTAGTGTAAAGTGCCTCCAATTTCACTTGAAATCATCCAAAGTGGCCTGAGCAATGTGACATGATTGCAGGTGATTGAAATGAATGATGATGAATGATGACGAATGATGAAATGAATCGATTCACCAACAAGACGTGGGTCATTCAAACAAGAAATGCAGGGTACGGTGGCTGTGGGTCTATAGCAACATGGGGATGTTCGCAACAACAATGCCGATATGGCCAGCAAAATGTGAGCAACAGCAGCTAACACATTGGATATAACATGATACAACCAGTATCGATACATGATTCCAACTTATCCAACATTTCTTTGCTTGCCGAAGGAACCAAACCAAAGAGGTTGGCAGGAACGGCGGCAGGCACCGGTCGGTAGAGCCCATAGATCCTGAGCCGACGCGTGAAAACCGTGAACAACCAGGTTTTGGAAAACGTCCTTCCACTTCATTTGAGAATGATGGCCATGGATATAAATCCCGCTCAAATCCCGATGTGATACACGTATGACGTATAATAGAAGAAACAATGGGGCTTAACATTCAACACTGGCGATGCACCAAATCTGATTTTACTGAGTGAAACTGGATGCGAATAGCAATGTTTGTTGGTTTAGCATAGTACCGTGGATGCAGATTAAACATGGTGAGGCAATGGGCCAAGGCGCCTTAAACACGACCAGTAGATCCTTTGGTTTCTGATTGGAGGATACAGTAGGCACATATGGAAGTATACGATAGCATACCGGGGGACCACAACAAACAACAAGGGTTTAAACATGTTGAAACAAAACCGTGACTTTGGAATGCAGCCAAGGCTGCGCGGGTGGTTGAATGAGATCTTTACATATCCCTGCGCAGCTCTTGGCAAATTTCTACGTGGGAAAAACAGTATGTTGCTGTAACCCCCAAAAAGATTCTGAACAGTGTTTCCGGGATCCTAATAACCCTCATATTTTTAGGTTTTCAACTTTTCTATCAATTTGGGGTTTCTGCATTGCATTCGCAGGTCTTCCTCTATGTGTGACAAACAAACATCTCATTGACGTAGCATAATCCAACCCTCTTGACCCACATGTCATCACATCCAAGTGTCACTTGCGCAGCACAATTTGCCTGCGTGGCACAAACCCTATCCCCTCGGTGTCCAAAAAAGTAGGAATGTACCCGAGGAAGTAATTTCACCAAAATCCAGTGAAAGTCAGGGTTTCAAATGGAAACGCATGTTTGTTGGATTTAGGTTGCCAGGAACACATCAGCAATGGGCTAACATCAGCAGTGGTATTTGAGATTTCAACATATTTCAACTGACCAAACGCCTTCCAAAATGGCTTCAACGGACAGTCCATCTCCGTGATCAATCTGAAGAAGGGCCAACGCTCCATGGTTAGGATTGCTGATCGCTGGTGTGGACATGAATGAGCATGGCCAAACTTGGAACATGAAAATTATAGCCGATCAGGTTCATATTCTCCCCTTTAGAGCAAAACTTTAGATTTGACCAAGTGATGGGCTCCCTTAGATGCTTGAGACGCCCGAATGGTAGTGGAATATGGTGCAGATTATCATCAGTTTATTCCAGCATTGTCTTCCTCCATCTAGACTAGCACACTGCATCATCCATCCACTTCTTATACTCATCCCATCCACTTCTTATATATATATATATATAATGTAAATATGGAGGTTTCCTTTAAAACTGAGGTACCCCCACATCATCCATTTAAAAGGATTTTCCATTATCAACCATCCATTTCGAGGTACCACCCTCTTTGGACACCTCCATATACAATAATATATAATATCCTCTTTTCACCATATCTGCCAAGAGACGTGCAGGGACAGGATGCTTGCGGGATTCACAAACTTGATCTTCGCTGGCATTGCGTGCAGTGGGTAGACCTGTGGTACAGGCGCCGACAGAAACCTCGGGGCGGAAAGACATCAAGGGTAGCAGCGTTTTGGCCATAAGTGACCATGAAAGTGACAAGCATGGGAGCTGTCTCTGAAAATGGGCTATTGACCAATGGCGATTTTAATGGCGAACAATGAGGCTTCAATCCATCAAATGTGTTGTTTTGTCTGTGTTTTTCCTGAGTTTTCAGACAAACCGGGATAGGGACACAGTCGCGCAATGCACAATGAACGCTCCAGCAAACACCGGAGTCATGAAAAACACATATCCCATCCCATGATACTGGTCGGTTGGCAAATATTCTTATGATGATAGCCAGTTAGTATAATCCCCTATGTTTACCCATCAACACAGGTATGTTTAATAAATAGCTCACGTGGATTTGGCAAGACGAGATGAAATTCCACAGTTCTTTTCGGGAGATGTGCGGCACCAAAGGAAATCAAAAGCCAACAACAGTGGAGATACAACCAATGTGAAAATTGATGGGACATTGATCCATCCAACTAACGGATACAACC